GCAAAAATCTCACCAAAAAAAAAAATAAATTGCTGGTTTGAGACCAGCAGATGGCATAATGGCTACATTGCTGGGCTCCCATGTAGGTGACTATGATCTGAATCCCAAACCCAGTGAATTAAAATTCACACTAGGCACATGTGTGTGCATGTCCAAAATCCTGAAGGGACAATGGAGGAGAAAAGATTGTGGTGTGGCCACTCCTGCTGCGTGTTGATTTCTCACTCTCTATCTCTCTGTCTTTCCAGTGAGTGCGCATGCCCTATAGCAAAAATCTCTCAAAAGAAGAGAAAGAAAAATTGCTGTTTCAACCTGTGTGTGAACTGTAATAGTAGGTCCACCCAGGCCTCTTTTCCTTCCCTCTACTGACAGAGGACAGACTTGACTCTTAAAGTTAACATCAGTAAAAATGAGACCCAGAGACAGAGATGATTAGAAAGGGCTAGGGGGAGAATAGGTTAGTAAATTCTTAAAAAAAAAAAATCTGATCATAACGATGATAAGAAAATATTTAAATTAAAATTAAAATTTTTAAACAGATCAAGGATTGATCATTACACCGTTACATGTATCTACACATACGTATTTATGGTTTATACATAAAGGTAAATACATGTTAAGGTAAGAACCATGGCTCTGACAATTAATATCCCAGAAATATTTGCTGAGCATTTTCCATTCATGAATAGAAGCCAAGGACAATACAAAGATGCAGCAGATCCTCTGAACAGCTAAATCCTCATCACAACTCTCACTTCCTAAACTGTTCTGAAGCAAACAAATGGTATTCAAAGCATATAATTAGATGTTAAATATTTTCTGGCCAAAAGAAAACCCTGGAGAATATATCTTTCTAAATTCTGTCCCGTGTTTATCATCATTTGATCGTGACTAAACCCGAGAACTTTATGTAAAGGATGTAGTTAATATATTGATTAGTTTATGGGTAGGTTTTTTTTTTTTCCCTATGCAAGGATATATTTGGTTTTGTTGTTTTATTTTCCTAAAATAAAATTCTTTCAGTAAAAAGTTATGGGCTTGCTCAAGGCCTGGTAGTTAAGGAGCTGGACCCCACGTGTCCCACTGTGCAGTTCAAGGCTGAGACATGGTAGCTTGGCAAACACGCTGGACTTGTGTACGTGTGAGCTTAAAATCCTGAAAACAGGGAGAGGTGGACTAGAAAGGCCTGTGAGAGGCCCTGCCTCGTGGAGGGGGTGCTTTCCCCCTTTCTGTCTGTCCTTGTCCCTCTTTGATGAGCATATGTGCTTTCTGGCAAATTAGAAACAACTTTAGTGAATTACAATTTTTTTTGTATTAACTAAGTAAATTTTCTATTAGAAATCCCCAAATATCTCCAAATGTAACAACAAGAATTACTGGGTAAAAAACACACCAAGCACATGTGTGTGTAGGCCCAAAATCCCAAAAGGAGGGAGAAATGGAGAAGAAGAGATTGTGGCTTGACTGTCCCCCATGGGGGATGTTTTCTTTCTCTCTCTCTCTATCTGCCAAGCATTTAAATTTAGTGACTTACTCATTGTGTTAACCCCAAAAAGCAGGTTCCCCTGTTCTCTTTTTGCAGATGTGGAAAAACTGAGGCTCAGAGTGGCATAACGGGCTCAGTACAGGACGGTGGCTCCTCCCCACCGCCCAGTGCTTTTCTTACTGCTAAATCTCCTAGGATTGTAAATCACAAAGTTGACAAAGGATTGACAGTACTAACCCACTTGATGAAATTGTCAGATTTTTGACTGATGATTTTAAATCAAAGAACTACCTGTTTTCATAGATAAGTATATGAAAAAGACAAAAGAATAACTCCTAAAAGCACTTTTCACTGCTCTGAATATATTTTACCTTATAATTAAACTAAGTTACAAATATAGCTGTTTTCCAAGTAGAGATAATTAGAAACTAGGGCCAGCTGACGGTAGTGGTTGAGGCCGTTGGAGCTCATGTGGCTGACTGCGTGGCTCAAGCCCAGACCCAGAGGCTTGAAAAACACATCAGGCATGTGTGTGCATGCCCAAAATCCCCAAGGAGAGAGAAACAGAGGAGAAGGGACAGGGTGTGATTCCTGATGGGGGAGTGCTTCCTCATTTTTTTCTCTCTCTCTCTCGCTGGTAAGCACAACTATCCAGCCAATTAAAAAACAAAAGACAATATACACACATGTACACGTGTAACATATATATATATAAACATACAAGAAATTTACTTAATGATGTGTGAGTCTTTATCTTCTTTAAAATTGGTCAAATTAGTTTTTGCTCAGCCGAAAAAAAAAATCACTTTAGCATTTAAAATACTTAATGGAAAATACAGAAATAATTACTTTTGTAACTGTATGGAATATTTTATTTTCTCCTGTACAGAGGTTTTCAAATTGCTCTTCTCCAACCCCAGGGCTCCTTGCAGGTGTCTTCAGGGGAGGCAGGAGGCTGAGCGGACAGTGCAAGGACCCCTCCCAGTCTTGGATCTGAGCAGGTCCAGCTCACCTCCCCCTTTGTTACACTGGGACAGCTCACGGCATTTTCCTAGATGGGTTTTGCTGCTCTTAAAGAGAAAGGAAAGTGAAGAAAAAGAAAAGAAAGACAAACAAGACAAGAAAGCAATCTAAAACCCACTGTCGTAGAATTTCTTGTAATAGCCAGTAGATGGCAAACTTCACTGCAGGAGACAATAAATGGCCCTGAAATTATCAACTGTTCTGAACCTCCAGTAACATTTCCTGCTCTCTCTGTAAGCCTTCTGTGAAAACTGGCAACAAAATTCTCTATGGCCATTTCCCTGGAAAACAAACTTCACTGATAATTCTACATAACTCTCTGACAGCGTTTTATGAACTCGTTTAAGCCTTGTTCTAAAGGTGGCGTCACCAGGAAAAGTGCTCACAAGAGAACGCACAGGGGGCTAGCATGGGTACCAAAACCGGACTCATCATAATCCTTGCCTCAGAACCTCTCATCACTGGTCTGTACACAGTCTGCGTGTGTTTCCTAAGTCGGTTATTTCATTTGTTTTCGTCATGCAGTGAATTGCAGTTTCTTCATATGTCTGAAAAATAAGGGGTTTTTTTCTGGACAGGATATTGTCTGGTGGCTTAAACAGTTCGTTGTAGCCTTAGTTAATGATGTCATGTCATGGGCAGTGTTCCTGGCAGCAGCTCACCTCCGGACACACTCATAGCCCTATGTAGCAAGTAATGCCAATGACACCAGTCACCAGAGGAGACCCAGAATGAGGATGTGATTGACAGATGAGCTTATCCAAAACCTATACGAAAAAACCATAGTTCAAAGTCTGGGGCCAGCAGATGGCGCGGACTCCCACATGACCAATTGCAGTTCAAGTCAAGTCCCAGACCTGGTGACTTGCTTTCTCATGTTTACCTCTTTCTCAATCTCTCTCTCTTTCTATCTCTCTGTGTGTCTCTCACTGGTGAGTGCATGTGCCCCATAGAAAATTTAAAAAATATATAATGATAATTAAAATTAAGTAAACAATTTTTTTTAAAGCGTACACAGTAACAAAGTGATAGAAGACACCTTGTGTGAGCACCCATAGGTAGTAACTCTACCTACTTTAAAAAAGATGACCAAGTTTATTTAGTAATACTTAAAAATATATTAGTCTGGGAACTCCAGAGCAACAGAACCAATGGAATATATGTATATAATTTTCAAATGTTTCTGGAAAATGTGTATTATGAAAAATCTATAAATTAATTTCAAAAAATTTTTGCACCAAAATAAGCTCACATTTTGATTTCTTTTTTTTTATGAATTTTTCTGAGTCCCCTCCTGAATGTGTATGTGTACACATGCACACATGGGGAAGGAGAGAGAGATTTAGTATAAAAAATTGGCTCATGGGATTATGAAGACTGGGAAGTTCAAGATTTGCAGTCAGCAGGCTGGAGACTCAGACAAGCCAGTGGTAGAATTCCAGTCTGAGTCAAATGTCAGAGGACCAATGGTGTAAATTCCACTCTGGGTCTTTGCCCAAAAGCAGAAAAAGACTGATGCCCAAGCTTGAAGACACATAGAAAAAAAATGATTTTTTTTGATACTCAGCATTTTCCCTGTTTAGACCTTCCATGTATTGAATGAGGCCCAGGACCATGTACTTTACTCAGCCTAACAATTTAAATGTTCATCTCATTTAGAAACAGCCTCACACAGACCCAGAAATAATGTTTAATCAGATATCTGGGCACCTTACAGTCCAGTCACATCACACATGAAATTAGCCATGACAAATCAATGCTTTGTCAACTTGGCACCCTTAAACCATACTTAACTTACAAATCAGGACAATAAGATGGTCATAATTCTAACATGATACAACTATTCTGTTCACAACAAGAAATGCACTGACCCCTTCCCCAGAAGAGGAGGTAAAGTCCTTCAGTGGTGTTTACCCTTCTTCTTCATATCCCATGCATAAATTCTATGTTGTAAAATTAATAACATTTAAACTATATATAACGAAGCCACTACATTTTATGTGATAAGGGACTAAGGGGGAAATATATGTACATATATAAATCATATTATATATATGTGTGCGTGTATATGTATATATATATATATACACACACATATAAAAGACAAAGACAAATAGAAGAAAAGTGGGGAATTGCCCCCTAGGACTGATGACCATGTCACAGTCCCTCCTCCTCCATCCTCCTCTTGGGATATTGGGCACGCACACACATGCACCGGGTGTGAGTTTCAAGCCAGTGGGTCTAGGACTCGAACCACAGTCGACTACATGGGAGTCCAGGGATGTAACCATCTGCTGGTCCCCCATTTTTGTTTCTTATTAGTACCTATTTCAAGTTTAGACACATGAGGAATCAAAACTCATAATTAGAACGCAGCCAACTACGTACTACATTAATGAACTTGTTTAAAGTGGTACGAAAATCAGAAAGAAATTCTTTAATTACATCCTCAACCACAAGTTTAACCTTGATATCTTTTATTTCTTTGTAGATTCCTTTTGCAATAAAAACGACACCAGATGCCTCTCAAACTCTTGCCAAAACAATTCTACGTGCAAAGGTTTTGCAAAAGGCGACAATTGTCATTGTGCAGACGAAGGCAACAATGTGGACGAAGACTGTGATGATGTGAGAGATCCTTGCTTCTCCAGCCCTTGTTCAGGAAGTGCCACTTGTGAGAACAGCCCGGGACAAAGGAGCTTTCTGTGCAAATGTCCTCCTGGCTATAGTGGAGTGACCTGTGAAACTGCCATCAGTCCCTGTGGCATGAATTCCTGCCAACACGGAGGTATTTGTCACCAGGACTCTATTCAGCCTGTCTGCATCTGCCCTGCAGGATATGCTGGAAGGTTCTGCGAGGTGGACTATGACGAGTGTGCTTCTGGCCCTTGCCACAATGGGGCCGTGTGCCAGGATGGAATTGACGGCTACTCCTGCTTCTGTGTCCCAGGATACCAAGGCAGGCACTGTGACCTGGAGGTGGATGAATGTGCTTCAGATCCCTGTAGAAATGAGGGTACGTGCCTCAACGAGATCGGAAGGTACACGTGTATCTGTCCCCATGATTATTCCGGTGAGTGCGATTACAGTTAAATCCCAGCTGATGTAATTACTTTCTCTTTATTATGACAGAATCAGGGATGACGTCTTATGTCTCGTCCAGTCATTTATGAAAACAGCCAAGTTCTTGACAGCAATTAATCTCTAGGTCGAAAACTTCCTGAACTATTTAAACCCCCTGAACACTAAGTGGTTGTGCACACTCCCTGTTGCTGTCTTATTAATTTGTTTAAAGTTTTTTTCTTTCATAAAAGTAAAAGAGAGTGAGAAAAAGACAAAGACAAGCACCTTCAACAGGGCCTCAGCTCTGAAGTCCCTCTCACACACCCCTAGCCAGCCAGGATTATGGACATGGGTAGGTTCAACCAGGGACACCCAACCATCTTCCCAGTAGATCTGCCATCACTTGAGCAGTGGTTACTGATGCGCCATTGTTGCTGTTTTCAGTGGAGCTCTGCATGATTTAAAGCCTAGATTCTGCCTAGACTGAGCCGACCTCATGGGGCCTGCCTTTCCAAGTCAGCACAGTTCAAGTTTCCTCATCAGCAAATTCCTTTCATCCTAGCTCACGTCTGCCCTCTAATGCCCAAAGCCTGACATCACCACCTGCTGGGAAGGCAGACCACTCTATACAGTAGCTGATTTCCAGTAGGAAAGTGTGACCAGGAAGTTAGTGGGTGCAAGGCTGATGGAGCTTGGTAAATCAGATAATTCATGACTTCATTAAGAAAGACCAACAATAGAATCTTGTATCTATTTAACCTTTACAAAGTTTCTGTTGATATAATTTTAATAGCAAGTTGACAACTCCCATTCACACTTGTTCGTGTCCTCACATTCAGCCTCACCCTCTTGCATCTTCCTGCATGGTAGCTACTCTTAGTCAGTTCCTCATGATAGCCATCTTTCTTGCTTTGCTTTATTTTCTCTCTTGATTTTCCACCTCCATGTAACGGGGCACCTCACCCAGGCTGTGCTTTCCCACCTGCATTCACTCTAACCTCTGCGCACCACCTTCCTGTGCTTCCTGACTCCTCTCTGAGACAGCACGTACATATTCGTACTGCTCTTTCCATGAGCTTTTGCCACTTTTGTACCTGATCCTGGTGTTTATCGTTCAACCTGCCTGCCTTTCTCAACCTGTTCACATTTACTTCTTTATTTTGTTGCTTTTCTCCCAAGTTATCTTAAGCAATATAATTATTTGGAAAATATTTCTCTTCCCAATTTCTCTTCAAAATCAGAACCCCACCCCCATCCTTGCCCCCGGCATGATTTTGCTAAGGTCACATATTCTGGGGACATTTACTTTATAAAATAGACATGCCCCTAGTTGCTCTGACATGAAATTTGCTCCCTTTTCCTCATTCCTCACCTATAAACAGTTCTCAGAATCTGCTGTTTGGACAACCAAGATGGCTTCCAAGTGGAGCTGGCCCGTTCTGCCTGCGGTACCTTGCTCAGGTCCTCCTTGTCTCCTGCGCATGATATTAACACTCCCCCCAACCCAGTTCTCCAACTTCCGGTCTCTGCCTTCTCGCAGCTGTTGCAAACACTGCCTTCAAAATAATCCTTCTACAATAGGCCAATGCCACGCTCTTTGAAGAGCCTTGGGAGATCCCCACTACTTAGAGAACAGTTTTAGCTTCTCACTGAAAGTCCCCGCAGACTGTCTCCCATGGGAGTCATCTGTCCACACACCGTTCCCCCAAAGTTTTCTAGCTCCTCAAATCAATCACCTTCAATTCTTACTCAAGTGCTTTCTCCCCCTGGGATCTCTTTCTCCTCACAAGGTGTCCTCTGCCAAGTTCTCCTCTGCTTTTGAGATCTCTTGGGTCATTCATGAAAAATGCGTCATGACTTTTCCAATAACCCCATAGTTCAAATACTACTTAAATCAAGTAGCATTTCCAGATTTCCTCTCAGTTGGAACAATACTTTCACACTGCTGCGGGAATTCAATTTGTGACTTTCTTGGTAGTTTGCACCTCCACAGAGAACGCTCCATATTCTACCTTCGTTTTTATTTATTTATTCCATGAGTGAAGGAAACAGAGAGTGAGGACTTCCCAACAGCATCTTCATGTCACAATCCATCCCCAGCCAGCATCAAGGGTGTATGTATGCACCTGGCATGTACGGAGAGTCCTCAGGGTGTGAACCTAGGACCTTTCCATATGGCCTCAGCATTGTCAAGTGCTGGGTTACTGCTGCACCACCACAGCGGGTCTTCTACCCTGTTGTACAGATATCTGTATGGTTTTTGTCTTTGCTCATGAAAGTGTTAGTTCCTAACAGACACAGATCATGTCTTCTCTTTATTTTCTCTTCACCAATACATTTGAGAGTCTATTACACGTCAGTCAGTGTGTTAAGAAGAGGAAGTAGTCTTTCCCAGAGTGCCCAGCTCAGTGATTGTCACTCATGGGTGCTTAATAAACTTACTGCATTGGGACCCGCAGGTGGTGGTTAAGGGGACTGGACTTCCACATGGCTGACCACGGCTTGAGTCTCGGACCTCGTGGCTTGCTTTCTCCCTTTCCCTCTCACTAGTCAAGTAAATAAATAAATAAATAAATAAATAAATAAAATTAAATAAAATAATTCTTTATAATAATAAATAAATAAGCCTACTGAATTTTTAAAATTTTCTAAATCACTCAAGATACTTCTGGACACACTTCCTGATAACGAAACTGCAGTACATGGCTATTAAAGTAGAGTTTAGTTTTCCTAGTGTTTTTGCACAGTTTAGGAGGATAGAATACTTGTGTATAGAGGGAAATTTCTCTCTCTCTCTCTCTCTCTTTTTTAAATTTTTTTTTTTGTAGAGGTTTTTGCTATAGGGCGCATGCACTTGCCAGAAAGACAGAGAGAGACAGAGAGACAGAAAGCGAGAAATCACCCCCCAGGGGGGATGGTCACACCGCAATCCTTCTCCGTTCTCCTCTCGGGATCTTGGGCACGCATGCACACACGCCTGGAGTGAGTTTAAGCCACTGGGTCTGGGACTCGAACGGCGGTCGACTGCATGGGATTTCAGCGACGTAGCCATTACTCTAACTGCTGGTCCTGAGAGGGAAATTACTCTTGATTGCCTTTTAGTTATTAGCACTATGCTAAAATTTAAAGAGAGTATTAACAAACCTTATAAAACAGTATTTGTGCCTGAAAAGCTTCTGGTTTGTGTACCACACTATCATGTCTATCTTCTTTAATGTAGTTGAATTTTGGAAATTGAATTTCAACTTTTGAAAAACATTTTAATAAAAGTTGAAAATACATTTTTGTGGGACTGGTTTAGGACTATTTTTGTTTGTTATTTTAGAACCACCATAGCTCATTAAGACGGTACCTTCTGGGGCCAGCAGATGGCGCAGCTGTAACACAATAATTCATGATGCTGGTCCCATGTGGGAAGGTCCCAGGCTCATGTCCCAAGACCTCTCCTTACATGTCAGGGGCTTGTGTGCACATCCATGATCCGAGGTGGCTAAGCTGGGAGATTACTGTGTGAAGACTCTGTTGGGGTGCTTCCTACCCCCTTGGAAAAAATGAATGAGTATACTTAAAGAAATTAATTAAAAAGGCCAGCATGTGTCGTGGTGGGTAAAGTGCTGGACTCCCCCACATGGCAGACAGCGATTCAAGTCCTGGACCTGGAAGCTTGCTTTTTCCTTTCCCTCTTTCTCTCTCTTTCTGTCTCTCTCTGGTGAGCATGTGTGCCTTATAGCAAATTTATAATAATAATAATAATAAATAAGTTGATATTGCTTTAAAACATTAACTAGAAAAGTATCTTCTATTTCCTGCTGCTTTGTCAATATTGAGAATGTTGAGTAAATGTAGGACACCTGAGATTGAATGAAAAGTTTAGTCATTTTAACTACAGCAGTCAAAATAGTTTTATTATAAAAACTTGATTTGAAAAATTATGTCTGTATACTTTTTAAAAATTTTTTATTTATCTGGAATATAATGAATTCTTTGAGTGGTCTAAAAGATGTCACAAAAGTGACCATGAAAGATTGTATTCCAAATGCGAAGAGTAGTAAAACTCCATTTCACACTATGAATGAATGATTTGTACCGTATGTTAGAGTATAATTCCGAATGTGAGGGAGTGTCCTTTCTCCATATAACACTTGACATCTACACTGAGGATACTTTCCTTGCCAAACCCTAATATAATGTTGTTTCTATTTGACTATACCATTCTCTTTCATTCTAAGAAAGCAGCTAAAGCTTATTATCTCAGATTTTTAGGTGACATATATAATACTTGCTAATAGAATTGAAATGAGAGCCTCATAAGGCAATAAAAATCAGGTCTGTTTTTAGCTGGTTAGGCTGGTTTGATAGGAAAGTAATTGCTGGTTTGAGCACTAATCACCTACACAAGCGGAAGGGCCCATGTTCTGGTAGTTCATCAGGGGTTCTCAGCCCCGACTGCTCATTAGCAACTACCCCAAGGGTATCTGAAACAGAGACGTTCAGACCCCACCTTCGGAGGTTCAACTATAATGGATGACTCTAATGTAGGTATAGCTGGGACTCATAGCCAGAAATTAAGTTTATGTGGACTTAACATGGAAACTTTTCTTTCACTATTCCATCATTAAGACACACAAGGAGGCGTGTTTACTTCATTGCTGACCCATAGTTACCAGAGTTTGTAGCAGCTCAGGCCAATTAAGGAGAACCCCAGAGAAGGTCTAGAGAACCAAGGGGGGAAGCCAAAGTTGAGAGGAAAGAAAGAGATCATCAGCCAGCAGTGCGGATGCACTGGAGTGCTCTGACTCAGCCTGGACCTCCTGATGGATCTCAGAAGCTGTGTTACCATGACCCAGCCGCTGTGCGCCACATCCGAATTTAGAGTGATCATAAAGAACTTGGCTTACAGAAAAAGCCTGTGCTCCCCTGAGCAGCAGAGTAAGAAACGGTAATAAATTTTTAAAGACAGAAAGGTAGGAGGCAAAAAAAGAGCTGCAGTACATGAAGACGGTTCACACC